AAGAATACATATAATTAAGCCCTAGCCTCAATGAACAAGAATGGAAGAAAGCCCCTACATTGATGCTCTTGAAAAGACTAGGTTTTGATCTTCTTGAATTTGAAATCCCCTTTGATCTTGTATTTTTCTCTTCCTTTACTCCTCTCTAAGGTCTCCTAGGGTTTTGAGTGTTGAAATGGGGCTAAAGGGATTACCCTTAAGTGTTTATAGTGAAAGAAAAATCGGCTATTCACGACTTAAAATTTCAGATTTTTTGAAGACCTTCCAGAAGGTTGTTCGTAGACCTTCCGGAAGGTTTGCCTATTTGAAAAATCATTTTCATTAACCTTCCAGAAGGTTGTCATCGACCTTTCGGAAGGTTTGTCTACTGGACGATCATCTTCCTTAACCTTCCGGAAGGTTTGTCTTCTGGACAAACATTTTCATCGACCTTCCAGAATGTTTGTCATCGACCTTCCCGAAGGTTTGCCTATTAGGCCAACTTTTCCAGAGACCTTCTGGAAGGTTTTGCCTAATGGTTTAATCTTTTACCTTAACCTTCTAGAAGGTTTTTCATCGACCTTCCGGAAGGTTTTATCTATTTTTCTACAAAACCTCTCTTTTTCATTTCCAATCCATTCCAAACCTTTCCAATTCCAACCCAAGCTTGTTCAACATGCTTTTGTACATCAAACCTAGTTGGTACAAGTGCTATTACAATGATTTCATATTTTTGCAAGCTAAACTAAGCTTTAACTACTATTTTCTCGAATTTTCATATTAACATTTCCAAAAGAAATAATAACTTGCTACATAAACCTACATACATATAGAAAGATAAAAGGGTGGGGTTTACACAATCTCTCATTGTGGGGGTAATCCAGGTAATTCATTGGGAAAAACATCCAAAAAGTCCGACACCACCAATATTATGTCCGGTTGGGATTTGTCCCGATCATCTCCCATTAAGTTGGCCAAGAAACTCAAATTGCTCCCTACCTTAGCTTTCTAGAATCTATTTCCTGTCATGGGAAATGGATGACAAGAATTGTGATCATTCTTGAAAGTAAAAACTACTCGTCTCAGTAGTTGAAAGAAAATTCGCTTGCAAAAATAATCCATCACCGCACGGAAAGCGGACAATAAGTTCATCCCAAATATAACGTCGCACCCCTTCATATCTAATGCAACCAAATTGACAACCAATTCTTGCTCCCCAATGCGAAGCACACATCCTCTACACACCCTTGTTGTATCCAACCGTTCTCCCGTGGGAATGTCAATACTAAGGGCATGTTCTAGCTTCTCAAATTCCAATCCCAAATTAAAAGCATATGTAGTACGTATGAATGAGTGTGCAGCACTGGGATCAAATAAGATTCGGGCCCAAGAGTTATAAAGAAGCATGATACCTTCCACTACGATATTAGAAGCATCCTCCTCCGGTTGAGTCAAAGCAAAAACTCTCCCTTGATTGGCACCGCCAGGGGCTTGAGGTTGTAACGGTCTTTGCTGTGCTGGTCTTTGTAGGGGTGGCTTGTTTGCTGGTACCTGCCCGGTCGCTTGATTGGTCCTTGGGAGAAACGAGGGGCATCTATGTTTGAAGTGCCCAAACTCTCCGCATGCAAAGCATTGACGCAGGTCAGTGCTTGTTCTAGTCTGAGCAACTCTATCTCCTCGAGCTATTAGAAGTCTCTGTCCACATGCTTGATCTAGTCGTCGGTATGGTGCCACTCACTATAATTCGTTACTACTAGCACCTGTTCGGATAGGACCTCCTCTCGCAAAGCTCTGTCATCGATGGCTGTCCTCTATATCTCTTTCCACAAGTGCAGCTTGGTCAACCATATCCCCATACTCCCTAATCTTGAGGGCCATAAACTTTTCCTAATTAACAGACCTTAATCCCTGCTCAAAGTGCTTGACCCTGTTGGCCTCAGTAGATATAAACTCCATAGCATAATGGGATAGCTCGTCAAACCTCTTCTCGTACTCGGCCACCGTCATGCTGCCCTGTCGTAGAATAAGAAAATATGCCTTCATTCTGTCTCTAACTGATTCTGAAAACTACTTGTCTTAGAAGATTTGGTCGAACTCCTCCCAAATGAGTGCATCGGTGTTCCTCCTTCTCTCTACGGAATCCCATCAATGGTCGACCTCTCCCTCCAATTGATATGTTGACAAGCCGACCCTAAGGTCATCAGCCACACCCATGCCGTCACATATCTTTTTCACTCGATGGATCCATCTATCCGCATCCAATGGATTGGAGCTTCCTTGGAAAGTGGGTGGGCGTTGTCTTAGAAACTCTTGAAGAATGACCATTCTCCGATTCTCATTCCCGTTGCCCAATACTTGGGCTAGTGGATGAGTCCCCCCATTGTGGTTGTTGTGGTTGTTGTTGTTTCCAATCTGGTTTTGTACCATAGTAGTGAGCTCCCTTAAGCATTGGTAGATGTCGTTCATGGCATCGGGAGGTGGTGGTGGGGGTGGGGGTGGATTTGCTTGACCTCCACAACCACGCCCACATCCACGTCCACGTCCTCGTCGTCCATCCATCCTGCACATCAATTCACAATTTAGTTTCATTGATGTACAAGACATCCTAATTATCGCTTTAATCTAAAGCCTAAGACTTATATAAAATATAGACCAACAATTTCGTTCAACCTAATCCTACCTCTCTAGTGGTAATCCATAACCTACAGCTCTTATGTAAGACCTAAAGCCTAGGCTCTGATACCAAACTTGTAACACCCCAAAAATCGGGAGCCCTTAATTTAACAAAATTCAGGGAGAGTCTCCTTTGTACAGGGAACTCTACCCAAAACACAACTTGTGCAATTATACTATATTTACCACACCGGGTTCATTTACGAATAAATATTGACCACATTACTGTCTAAAATCATTTACATCATGAGAGCACTAATATGATCCATAAATAAATAAGACTTCATTTTTCATCCATAAAATTTACAACATTATCCAAAAGAGTATGCCCAACCATGACATTTACACCCCAAAAATTTAACTATCATAGTGCAGCGGAATAACAAAAGAAAAACTAGACTTCAAAATGTTCAAAATAAATATCCTAATCTAGAACAAAAGAAAGTGTCGCTCCAAGCGTCCACCTCACGATTCACGCTCCCGTCTATCGGAGTCTCCCAGTGTTCGGGCTCCCCGACTCCCAGCTCTTCCTCGAGAGGATAATTTGAAAAGGTTAAACTCAATATACAATTAATAATCCATTTCACCATAAACCATTTCTCACAAGTTCTTGCGGAATCTCATACTTCCCAAGATTCTTGTAGAAACCATTTCTGGTAGAATAAACAATAACTCATAACTTGAACATTTCACAACTCTATATACATGTATCTCAACCATGATGTAAGGTATCCACATGAATCAACGCATTGAGTAACACCTAGCCCACACACACACACCCAAATCTTCTCAAAGATATCCAACCTTTAGGAAGGGCGTATACCATACCAATGGTAGTGACGTATCCAACCCAGGCATTAGTATACTAACCCTCCACCTCAATACCCGTGAGAAATAGTGGTTTAGTCTTACCAAAGCACTAACCTACTATGAGTGGTAGAGAAAGTTCAAATCCATGAAGAACGTCTATCCACTTTACGATATCTCGTCAAAGGCCACCCATGGTCATTCCACACTCATAAGAGATACAATACCAAAATCAATTTCTCAATTTACAAGCATATCTCCAAAATCTCTAAATTTATCATGTGACAATTCCAATAACCAATTAAGAAAAATACAAGAGATCCCAACAACATCATTTTATTACTCAACACAAAGCACTATAGTTTTGAAATCAATAATAAAGGAAGAATTTAAGAATAAAATCCATTACTCTCCAAAAACTAGGGTGTTAAAGCAAGAAAAGAGATGTCCTGGATATTCAACCCAAACTTTGTTCAAAACATGTAATCTTTGCAAAAAAAAGACTAAGAGAGGATGATTTCATATCATATATATATAATTTAGAGGCAACACATACATATATAAATACCCTAATCTCAATGAACAAGGATGAAAGAAAATTCCTACCTTGAATCAAAATTCCAAGTGACAACCCAAGCTCTAGTGACCTCCTTCTTCTCTTTCTTCCTCCCTTAATCTTCCTCTAAGGTTCCAAGAGGTGTGGGGTGAGAGTGGAGTGAAAGAAATGAAAGAAAATGGGATGAAATGGTGTTATAAGGTCAGTCAAATCTCGATTTTACTGTTCACAGGCTAATTTGGTTTTCTCCAAAATTACGATTTTACCACTAAGAATCTCCAATTTGATCCAAATGACTACCCTAAGGTTTTTCAACGTTTCGGATTTATTTTTAATGTTATTTTAACCTAAAAAAATTTATTTTTATGATTTATTTCAAAACAAAAATAAATTTACACTCAAAACACTAAAATTACTATTTTATTCCTCCGAACTGCTATATGTACTAAATGACTATTCCAAGTTTTTCGGACCTCCCAGGTTCAAAGATAATATTATTTTGACCAAAAAAAAATTAATATTTTTACTTTGTTACCCTTATCAACCTGAAACACCTAAAAAAGAAAGTTAAATTTTACAATCAATTTGCCTCTCTAGTATTTATTCTTATAGTATCAATATATATGATTTATTCTTACGTCATTACATATATGAGAATCACTAAACAAGTACATTACTATATTAATATAAACATGTGGGGGTTTTACAAGATACCCTTACCATTTTTACACTTTGGAGGACTTGTGTTTATACATGGGGATGATGGATTGGGATTCACAAACACAGTCTTGGATGAAGTGGAGTTGGTGTTCTAAGTAGTGTAGCATAGGCCTCATTTCTCATCCATACTCTTTCCTATAGACAATATTTTATTCAATTTTTCTATGCTTAGGGAATGCCTTTGTAAGAGTTCTTGCAATTCATGACGGCCTCTAAGTTTAAACTTTAGACTCTTGTTTGACTCTAAATGCCCATTGTGCTCACTCTAAAGAAAGCTCAGTTTGTGTAAAAGAGACTTATTCTCTTCCTCAAGCCCACAAATGTGAACTTTGGGCGTCACTAAGTCTACATGAACTGTTCTCTTATCATCTTCCCTTGTTTTGAGCCTCGTGCTCAAAGAAAGCATCTTTTTCTTTTGTTGAAGGCATTTTTCATATAATTGGTTATATGCATCTTGAAGATCCTTAATACTTTGAGCCTCATCCTCACTACTACAGACTTCAACATCTAAGTCATCTACTTTCGTGGTAGGACTTGAATCAACATCAACACTAGAAGTTTCTCTCCCGAGGAGGGGAGAGGAGTCATACGAACCAACAATGGCCATGAAATTCTCTTCATCTTTTTTCTAAAAAGGAGTCATCACTCGAAGTGGACTCACTCTCACTCAACCTAACCTTCATGGCTCTCATCCTTTCGTTGGGCATATCCTTCTTCTTTGCTCTAGGACATTCTACAGCCACATGTCCGAAACCTTGACATTCGTAGCATTGGAGACTTTGCCCTTTCTTCTTAACCTCTTGTCAAGAAGTTTTGCCCCTATCTCTCTTCCCTCCTTAGGAGTTTTAGGTCTACTTGAATTTTATTTTGACCTTAAGAACTCAACACCATTAGCCTTAAAATATCTTTTAAATTTCGATACAAGATAGCTATGTACTCTTCTTGCAACCGGGGTGACTCGGATTTACCTTCTTCTTCTTTTATAGCTATACCATTCACTTTCTTAGGTGGTAAGTGGTTCACCACGAAAGTCAAAATTGACCCAAATAACTCTTCCACTGATGTCGATGCCGATGTCATGTCAATACTCGTTTTCAATGAGGTTACTTTATCATGAATTCTATCTGGTAGAGATCTCAAGATTTTTTTTTATTTTATTGCAGCATCATCTATCTTAGTACCTAATGAAAAGGAAGAGTTAAAAATATCGCATAACTTGGCATAAAATTTGCTAAACGTTTATTCTCCTTACATTCTCAAAGTCTCTAACTAAGAAATGTACCTTTGGAGATGAGACATCTTGGCCATGGAAATCTCTTTGTGGGATACCACAAGTATGTCACATGCCTCATTAGAAGTTTCAAAAAAACATTTCCTTCGAAACTCTTCTGGTGTCACAACATTGAATATCAAATTCAAGCCTTTCGAGTTCCATCCCACTTGCTTGATCTCAACTTTTGTCCAAGTCTTTGGGGATTTCAATTCCACCACCACTTCACCACCTTAGATCAGAATGACGGTGATGTGAGGGCTCTGACCATCTTGCACGTAAACTCAAACTTTCTCCTCTATTGATTTTAGAAATGCTATCATACTACCTTTCCAATATGTGAAGTTTGAACCATCAAAGAGAGGTAGTCATGTAATTGATCCTCCTTCCTTTTGAAACTCTATTTAAAACTAACTAGTAATAACAATAGATCTTCATGAAGCAAACAAACTAGGTATATAAGCAAAAAGAAGATAAGCCTACAATGTGTCTAATGTAATCAAGGTAATTATGCTCTGATACCAATTGTCATAGAATGGGGAGAGATAAGCAATGGATCTTCCCTTACGATTATACATGTGGGTTGCAAGACATTACCTAGAGGGGGTGAATAGGTTAATTAAAATTTAAGCTACCAATTTTAACCTATATCTACCACAATTATCTCATCACACAATGATATGAACGTAAAGTGAGAGAACCCCTTTTCAACCACAACAACCCAAAACACCTATAAAGATTAATGTATTGATTTTATCAATATATTAATTAACACTCAATTTCTTAAGGGAATCCCAACCAAGGAAACCAAGACCAACCAAAAAACTATGAGTATGTGTATGATGTAGATATTCAATCAAGCATTAAAATAAACGCATAAAGCCCATGTGTGCATCAAATTGCAAGTGTGTAAAAAAATTAATAAAACTAAACACAATCAATTTGTTGACATGGAAACCCTCTTTGGGAAAAACCTTGAGGAACCACTTAGGGTTCACAAAAACCTAATCCACAATCCCAAGGTTAGTTTAAAAGTACTTGAGTCTTGTATCTCAACCAATACAATGGTTAGAAGTCTCTTTTTGTAAATAAACCTCTCTACCGAAACTCCCTCTTCGACGTCTTGGAGGCTTCAATTGAGCCCTCCAAGCACAGTTCATTTAGGGCTCGAGCACTCCTAGGATGCACCCATGAATTTCAATATACACACTTTCCAAATGGGTTTGTTCAACTAAGCAAAGTCTTCTTTTCCAATGTGTCAGATTTTATATGAATTACTAAATTGTAGCCTTTGGATTTGTAACTCCCAATTTCTTGGATGCATTACTTTCTGAATCAATCAAGATATCCTACATATCTCTAAATACATGTCTACTAAACAAAAGATTCAGAATTTCATATCAACAAAAAACAATCAATAAGAGTAAAAATTTCAAATAATTAAAAGAACACTCTTTGCAAAGAGATTGAAAAATGAAAGCATATTGTATACTATCTCATACCTCTAATTTTTTCCTTTATAGAGATCGTTCATTATGTCAAAACAAAACCAAGTAGTATTTCAAAAGAATTATAAACTAAGTAATTATGACTTATTCAAACCAATTTTTTTTTTTTTTGTAATGCAAAACAAAAAATAACGATGTCCGAATATGATCAAAAAATATTTAATAAGGATCAAATCAAGTGTTTGTTTGTTAAATTGAACCTAAAAAATTATTAAATCATACCCTTAAAACCTTACCTAAATTTTCGATTGTAAGATCAAACTCCTACATTAACAAAATTTTCCTATTTTCTTTCATTTTCTCCCTCTCTCTTCATTCCTCTCTCTTTTTTCTCCTTCCTTGCTCTATGTTTTTCCCATTGAGCAATGGTTATTTATAGCCAATTTGTTTGGCTTCAACATCAACTATGATGGCTTATGGTGATGCAAGCATTGACACTTCTCCTTGCCTTGCCCATGTTTTTTAACCTTAATACACATTTCACCCTTTTTTTTTCCTTTTTTTCTTTTTTTGACAATTTTCTGTCTAGAATCTATATATGTTACACAACTATTATACCATTCGGATAGTTTGAATATTTATTAAACATAATTCACATATAGTCTTTACTTTGACTCATTTTCTCATAAAGAATCCACATTTTAGGTCCATCTATTTATTTTAAATTTAAAAAAATAAATTTTGATAATATAGAATCATAGTTATCTTTCAATTAATAATTAGGTTATCACAATCTACCCACCTAAAAAAAGATTTTATCCCCAAAATTCATAATTAATATATTAATTAATTTTATTGCACACTCTGATATCACTTTGTAACATCCTAATTTCCTAGATGCGTTACTTTATGAATTAATCAAAATATAAAACAAATATATCCCCAAATAAATATTAATTCAACAAAAGATTTAGAATTTCATATCAGCATAAAGTAATCAATAAGAGCAAAAAATTTGAATAATTAAAAGAATACACACTTTGCAAAGAGATTGAAAGATGGAAGCATATTGTATATTACCCCGTACCTCCGATTTTATCCTGTATCAAAATCGTGCGTTGTGTCAAACAAAACCGAGTAGTATTTTAGAATAATTATAAAACTACATAATTATAACTTATTTAAACCAAAAATAATTTTTAGATTGAAAAATAACGATATCCAAATTTGATCCAAAAATATTTAATAAGAATCAAATTCAAGTGATTACTTTTCAAATTGAAACTATAAAACAATATTAAATTATACCCCCAAAAACCTTACCTAAATTTTTTGATCATAAGATCGAACTCCTACGCGATAATTTTTTTTCCTTTTTCTTCCCTTTTCTCCCTCTCTTTTCCTTCCTCTCTTATTTTTCTTCTTTGATCTTGCTCTACGTTTTGTGCCCACTAAGCAATGACAATTTATAGCCAATTAGTTTGTCTTCAACGTCACCAATGATAGCTTATGGTGATGCAAGTATGGACATTTGTCCATGCCTTGCCCATGTTTCTTTTCTAACCTTAATACACATGTCACCCTTCCACTTTGTGGTCCTTTTTTGATGCTTGTCCCTCTAGAATTAATCAAATATGTAATAGAGTATGTGATTGTGTATGCTAAACAAAATTGAACACATAGATTAGGTGGTTCGGTCTGAGTGACCTACTTCACTAGGAATGGCTACGGTGGTCAGAGAGTTTTATTACTCAAGGTGGGTAGAGTGCTAAGGGATGAGTGAGGTCCCCCCAATGTGTAGGTAGGGCTAACAATTTATAGGTAAGTAAAGTTTCATAACAACTCTAAGGGAGCCCTAATTGAGGCATCACTCTCATAACGGAGAGCGAGGTGGTTATGTGAGGCCAACATCATTATCGTAATGGGTGAAGTGATTCTGTGAGGCTGGGATGTCCCGTAGATTTCCTTTCCTAAAATGGAGATCCCCATGTGCGCTAGTAATTTACTGGGTCTTTTAGGATTGTAGGCTTTGTCCAATTGAAATTATGACTGAGCCTTTGTTGGTCTACATCTATGATCTGGGTCTAGTCTGTATATATGATCTGGGCCTAATTTGGGTCGGAATCATCATTTCCCCCCCCCCAAAGAGATTTGGGGGAGAGAGCATCAATAAGAATAAAATTTGCTTTCTACTTGTTTACCTTTCCTTCTAGGTATTGACTATGGTGACTTTCAATTATTCTCGTTCTCTAAGCCTCCTTTTACTACACACTCTTTCACTCCATAAGCACTTGTGGCTATTGTTTTAGTCTTCACCAAAGAAGCTTGTCTTCATCTTCTGCTAGTGGTAGATAACTAGGGCTTTAAATAGTACCCCCCATATACTCATCTAAGGATGAAAATAGAAAGAAATGTGTGGCGTAGGAGGCGAGATTGAGTTTGGTTGTGCGAAAGTAGAAGCTGAGCTGTGGGTAGCTCATAAGAGAGCTATCAGAGTAGAGGCTCATTCCTAGGAGATGGAGAGGATGAGGGAGGAAGCATAAAAAGTTGTCCATCGCTTGCACGATAATGTTGTGGGCACTTTTTTTAATGGCTACAAGGAGTTTAGGGGGAAAGCTTCAGTGGCTTTTCCCAATATAAACATCTCGGTATTTTTTTCATAGGATTAATTGCACTGGAGGTACTCAAAGTATGAGGTTTATCTCATTTTAGTCCCCAATGTTTCAATTGCATCATTTTGGTCCCTAAAGTATTAAATATGTTTCGATATAGTCCATCAAGCTGACAGCGTCCAACTTGCTAATAATGTTTTATCATAAACTTGTCACACGATACTTAAATATGGACAAAAAATAATTTAGATAATTTTTGACCAAATTTTTACTCAAATTTTGGTTAAAAAGCTACCCA